TTACAGAGTAAGTCGATTTTCCATGTAAAGTGTGTGTGTGTGTGTGTGTGTGTGTGTATTTGGTGCAAGCTTACAGAGTAAGTCGATTTTCCATGTAAAGTGTGTGTGTGTGTGTGTGTGTGTGTGTGTGTATTTGGTGCAAGTTTACAGAGTAAATCGATTTTCCATGTAAAGTGTGTGTGTGTGTGTGTTTTCCATGTAAAGTGTGTGTGTGTGTGTTGACTTGTGACGCACTGAAGTCCCTACAATCTAATGTCACTCTTCCTCGGGCCCGCTTGCCATTTCCATCCATCCTGTTTTCCTAGCCCTTTCTTCCTACTGAGTCCAATTGATCTTAGATATTGGTTGTTTAAATTATGAAATTTTGAGAAATAAAGATATTAATTATTTTATTTATATCTTTATCAAAAGATTGGAAATTTGTAGATGAAATTAGCATACTTTTCTTGTTTTCCAATATGTGTTTCTTGTGTCTAGCAAGCCTCTAAGACAGTTCATTTTTCATTTACTTCTCTGATGCGTTTTCAGCTGAATATGATTTATTATATGCATAGAAATTTTGAGTTTTCAGAAAAAACTTTTAAGACATTTTTTTAAAAGCTTTGCTTTGTAGAAAAAACATGTAACACGTGCTGTGCACATTTTATATCTCATTACAGCTAAAGTCATTGTTGCTTTAATAATGTTTGCTTTTAACATTTTCATGATTTACCATGTTGCATTTAAAATTCAGGTAATAGTATCTACTACCTATTGAGGTAAGTTTCACCAGCAAACTAAATTCTCAAAGAAAAATCAAGTGGACAATTTATTCTTAATCATGTTTTGTTGTAACTTGTATTTATTATATGTATACTTTTTGTGTGTAAAATATTTTGTATAAAATGGAAGAATTGCATTAAAGGTTTATAATATATGATACTTACTTTTTATTTGATGAAAATAGAGCCAAAGATCATATCATTTTGATAATTTATACATGTATAATTCAGTGACAGATGTTGTATTCTTAAAGTTGTGCAACCACGTTTACTATCTTTTTTTTTTTAATCATTTTATTAGGGGCTCATACAACTCATTTCACAATCCGTACATACATCATTTGTGTCCAGCATATTCGTACATATGTTGCCATCATCGTTCTCAAAACACCTGCTTTCTACTTGAGCCCTTGATATCAGCTCCTCATTTTTCCCCTCCCTCCCAGCTCTTCCCTCCCCCTGAACCCTTGATAATTTTTAAATTATTAATATATTATAATATCTTACACCATCCAACGTCTCCCTCACTCACTTCTCCGCTGTCCGTACCCCGGGGTGGAAGTTACATGTAGACCTTGTCATCTGTTCCCCCTTTCTCCCTCACCATTCCTCCACCCTCCCGATATCGCCACTCTCACCACTGATCCTGAGGGGCTCATCTGTCCTGGATTCCCTGTATTTCCAGTTCCTATCTTTTTCTAGTTTATTCTGCTACCAATATTTTAAACACACTGCCCCTTATGCTTCCCATCCACAGCCTTTTTGGTTGTCATTGCTAGTTTGACCTTATACAGACAATTCTTTAAAAGGGCACAATTCAAAAGAGAGATTCCTTACGATAATTCAGATAAACGATTGTTCAATGTGTACTTTTACTAAGATTGTGTTTGAATACAATATGGTATATTTTACTAAATAACTAGTGGTTTACAGTGTGTCCTATAGCATCTCCTGGTAGCTGTTAAAATGTTAAGTCTCAGGTCAAGCCTTCGTAAATCCACCATTTTATTTTCTAACCAGCCTTCCTAATGATGCTATGGCACTAATGTTTCAAAACCACTGCTCTAAACTAGTGGGCTGTATAGGCTGAAACTAGTTACCACTGCGTAGATAGCCACTATTCTATTTTAATGACACGGAATTCAAGATATACTGTGGTCTGTTAGCTGATTGTTTAATTGATATGATTTAGTCATTAAGTATTCATCTTAAAGATTCATGTTTTTAATATGTTTCATGCCCACCAGTTATCAGCTTGTCATACTCTGGTGGCTTATGTGTTGCTGTGATGCTGGAAGCTGTATTACTGGTATTTCAAATCCCAGCATGGTCAGCCAAGTGAACAGGTTTCAGCAGCGCTTCTAGACTATTAAGAACAGACCTTACAAAAAGGAATAGGCTAAAAAAATAATAAAATTTTTAAATTAAAAAAAAGGAATAGGCTGCCCTTCAGAGGAATTAGCTACTGAAAATCTTATGTATAGCATCAAAATGTCAAATACTGAGAACCTTAGGAATAGAAGCAAACTAAGAATAATTGGGAGGATGGCACAAGTCTTAACTTTATGGCACCTAACAGCAGCAGCCAGATTAATGTGCTTTATTCAGTTTAACTTAGAAGTGAAAATACTTTAAATACTAGCAGTTGTCTTGCTTAGAAGATACTTAAATACACCCTAACTTACTTCTTCAGTTTAAATGAATGAATATTTACCAGGTCATAAGGTATGGTTTTCCTTTTTTTGGCAGATGCAAAAAGAAGGGAGAGACAAATGCAGTCCAGAGCAGCTGTGCGTTCTCAACAATGTGAAAACAAATCTGAGAAGGTTTATTACTTATCAAGAAACTGTTGAAAAAAAATACTGACTTCTTAAACCATCCAAGGAGGTTTTCTTTTGACTATATACAAAATGGCTTCAAAAAGCTCGTGGAAAATGAACTAACAGATATGGATGATTTTTCCATGAACTTTTTGAAGCTATCTCATGTTTCTGAACGTACCAGTGTTCTATGCATTCATATGACGTAGATAAGCCTTTAGGACCTATCAGCTTTTTTAAAGCTCTAGTCTGTGTGGCATTTCTAACACTCTAATCATTTTTTGGGGGTAGCATATCTCAATCACTGGAAACAAAAGACTCAGATGGTCCTTAATTAATTTATGAGCAGTAAAGAATCTTCCAATCATGTTTTTTTTGAATTTTATAAAATAAGAAGGAAAAAATCCAAAGCATTGCTTGGCTGCTCATTTGTCAGTCATTTTTTGAATCTTGACCAGAAAGATGATGGCAAACTTTTTAAAGCATTTATTTTGGTATAAAGTTTGCCAGTTATCATTACTTTTTGTGAAGAAGTGAATGAGTTAAATTTCTATTTCAATATTTAATCGATTTTACTAATGATGTAACTGAGGTAATTGTCATCCTCTACAGATGAACTGATCAGTAATTGCTTTGTGACATTTTCCTTGATTTGCTATACTACAGAATAGTAATTAAGAGATATTTTTAATAAATAGCATTTTAATTGAAACATTGTCTTAGAAAATGTTATTTAAAATAATAACTAAACCTATTCTGGAGTGTTTTATTGCTCATGGTTATTGCTTTGGATATATGTGAAGCCACACAACTTGTCTGTCAGTTTATCATACTCTGGTGGCTTGTATGTTGCTGTGTTGCTAAAAGCTATGTCACTGGTATTTCAAAGACCTGCAGAGCTACCCAAAGTGAATAGGTTTCTGCAGAACTTCCAGACCAGGAACAGATTATGAAGAAAGAATCGGCTTTTCATTTATGAGGAAATTGGCCACAGGTAAACATCCTAGCAGCAGAAGATTGTCAGGGATGCTGCCAGAAGATAGTGCCCCTCAGGTCAGAAGGCACTCAAAATATGACTACGAAGAGCTACATCTCAATAGAGTTAACCGTAATGACGTGGATGGAGTAAAAGCCTTCTGAACATTCATTTGCAGATGAGGCACAACTCAAAATGAGAACAAATAGCTACAAACAGTCTATTAATAATCAGAACTTGGACTGTATGAAGTATAAATCTAGGAAAATTGGAAGTCACCAAAAATGAAAGGAAAGCCATAGAGATCAATATCGTAGGCTTTAGTGAGCTGAAATGGACTAGTATTGGTCATTTTGAATCAGAATCATGATGATTTACTATGCTTGGAATGACATAATCAAGAGGAATGGCTTTGCATTCACCATCAAAAAGGACATTTCAAGATCTACCTTGAAAGTACAGTTCTGTCTGTAATAAGATTGTATCTTATCTGCCTTCAAGGAAACCCAATCAATACAACTATTCAAATTTATGCAACAACCACTAAAGCTATTGATGAAGAAATTGAAGAATTCTACCAACAGCTTCAGTCTGTGATTGATCAAACGTACACTCAAGATGCATTGATAATTATTGGCAGATGGGATGCGAAAGTTGGAAACAGAAGAAGCAACAATAGTTTGAAAAAATTGGTCTTGGTGATAGAACAAAACTGGAGGTCACATGATAGAATTTTGCAAGACTTGTTCATAACAAATACTTTTTTTTCCAACAACACTAGGAGTGACTGTATACATGGACTTCTCCAGATGGAATGAACAGAAATCAAATCGACTAAACATATGGGAGAACATGATGGAGAAGCTCAGTGTTACCAGCTAAACCCAGACCAGGGGCCAATTTGGAACTGACCACCAATTGCTTATGTTGGAGCAGAAGATAATTCAAACAAGTCCATGCAAGCCAAAATAGGACCTTGAATATATGCCACCTGAGTTCTACGAACATTTCAGGACAGGCTTGCTGCATTCAACACTTAATGACAAAACACCTGCTAAGCTGTGGATGACATCAAGAAAAATCATGAAGGGCAATTCTGGTAAGATGGCGCTAAGAGGGCCGCATTGGGAGCTTCTTGGCAAGCATTAAGCTTGGGGACTGGGAGGCTCAGGAGGGTGTCTGGGACCTATGACTAACCCTCAGAGCACCCCAGAGCTCTGTTCCAACAACTTACCCGCAGCACTAACCCAACCTGCCACCTCTGTAGTCTGTGGATCTCCAGTGACTGGTGCCTGGGTTATCCCAGCGTGCACCACCCGCATTACAATGGGTTTGTGCCATCGCTACTGCCCCACCACCACCACCACCACCACCTGCCCTTTGGGGCGCTTCCCTCTGTTGGCGACCATGTCCACCCTCCTCAGTGCTCCATGCTGCCATGGGCACTGCCTCTCTGGGCACTTCCCACAGGCACTTCCCATGTGATCGAGCTGCATAACACCACCCTTGCCCACAGTTGCTCCACCTGCACTGCCTGAGAGGACCATCGGATCTCTCCTGCTTAGGAAGAGAGTAAACCCCTAGTGAGATAGAGAAGCAGCCTGATCCCACAGCGCATCTGGCTACAGGTAGCCCTCAGAATCATTTTTAAAATTCATTAATTTATTCATTTTTATTTTAATGAGTCATTTTATTGGGGGCTCTTAGAACTCTTATAACAATCCATCCATCAAGAATCATTCTGAAAGTAAAAAAGAATCATTCTTACCAGCCTCCCAGAGAGGTAACTCAGGGCTCCTGACTCCCAGGGAAATGGCATCAAGTCCCTCCAAAATAACACGCAGACAACAACTTGAACTGCAACCTCTACAAGCAAGGGAAACAAAATGCATCATTGGAGGAAGACCTGAACCTAACGTCGCTCAAAAAAGAAGCAGATGTTGAACCACCACAGAAATGTTCCTTAGAATCATACAGGATATGAGGGAATCAATTCGGAAAAAGGATGAGCAATGGAAAAGACAGAGTCAACATAATGAAGGGAGATACAGAAGAACCCCAACCCTCGATGGCCCTCGACGTAATCCGTTCTAGGAGCATCAAGATGTGATGCATTCAAGTTCCAAATCAATTTTCCCCGCAAGAAATAACTGAAAATGGACTAATCCGTTCACAACCACCAAGTTTTTACCCTAACCTTGCCTTTTTATACAAAGCAATAGACAGAAATTTCCAAGTAAGTAAGTTCAGAGTTAAATAATATAATTTAAATAAGAGACACACATTTAAAAAGTTTTTAACCACAGTATGGCGCTCACCTTGAGATTGATGAGGATCTGGATCTGTGGACACGGATATGGAGAGGAGGTATAGAGAGAGTTGTCTGGAAGGGGAATCCTCTTCCATAAAATACACAGGTAGCTGCTTTTCAGTTTTTTCCCTTCTTTGCCTTTTTTCACTAGGACCTGGCTGGTTTTCTCTAAAAAAAAATCTCTCTAATGTGGTCTGCTGTTGGTGTTTCCTTAACTGTTTTCTAAAAGGGTTAACTAAATGATCATCAATAATATCGATAACACCAGTTCCTTATCATGATGATTCTTTTCAAAACACTCTTTCTTAGGACCAATAATTTTTATCTAAAAACAGTACAAAAAGCCACAAAAACTAAGAAAATTATAGCAGAACACTTGGAACACAGCAGCAAAAGGTTCAAACAATGTACTAACAACGCCAACTAATGCAGAGTTACCAAAACATGAACTACTGTTGTTTACAAAAAATCGCGTGCATTGGGTTGGATTACAGTGTTTTGTTTGAGCTCTGTTGCAAAATTTTCTTGATATTTCACATCGAAATCCGGTTATGTCAAGTACTGATACGGTCAAGTACTGGGGTTCTACTGTACAGGAGTTAAGGGACCAGGCAACAGAATCATTCTTGTAAGACGTAGAGGCCTCTGCTTAAATCTTGCCTCATTAAAAGAACGATTTCTTTTAATATTGTGGCAAGGTGTAAGACTCACCTGCCCAATGTGGGAACTGAAGACAAAAGGGGTACATAAGTAAATGGTGAAGAAAGCTGATAGTGCCCAGCTATTAGAAGATATTAAAGAACTAAAAAAAAACAAAAATTAAAGCCTCGAGTTACAATATTGAAAGATTCTATGCACAAAGACATAATACTGCAGGAAGCATCCAAAAAGTAAGGATACACAGGCACTGCACCAAATAGAACTAGCAATATTCCACCTGTTCAGTTGGTAGCATATGAGCAAGAACCAATGGTGCTGAAAGAAGTCCAAGCTGCACTGAAAGCATTAGTCAAAAACAAAGCTCCAAGAATCAATGAAATACCACTTGAAATATTTCAGCAAGTTGATGAAGCACTGGAAACACTTGACTATGTTTAGAAATGTGGAAGACAAGCTATTTGGCTAACTGACTGGAAGAGATCCTTATTTGTACCCATTCCCAAGAAAGGTTACCCAACAGAATGTGCAAATTACAGATTGATTAATATCACATGCAAATAAATTTCTGCTGAAGATATTCAAGAACAGTTATAGCATTACATTGAGAGGGAGCTGCCAGAAATTCAGGCTGGATTCAGAAGACATGAAACAAAAAAATATCATTGTTGATGTCTGATAAATCTTGGCTAAGCACAGAGAATACCAGAAAGATGTCTCTATGTGTTTAATTAACTATTTAAAGGCATTAATTTTGTTCATGTATAACCTGTATTTAGATCAAGAAGCAGTTGTGTTAACAGAAAAGGGAAATAATGCAGGATTTAAAATAAATGGTGTGCATCAAAAATGCTTATATTCATTATCAATAAGAGAAATACAAATTAAAACAAAATAACATCTCACAGATATTCTTATCAATTTTTAAAAAAATAAATGCTATAAAAGATATGTAAGGATTGGAATACTCGTATTTTACTGGTAGGTCTGTAGACCTGTATAACAATTGAGGAAATCACTATGGCACTTCCTTAAATGATTGCAAATAGTTACCTTATGATCCTGCAGTACTTTTACTCGGTATATACCTTAAAGAAACAGTACAAAATGAGACATTGTACACCTAAGTTTATTACAGCAATTTCCAGAATAGCAGAAGGAAAGAAACAACCAAAAATACTGATTATAGAGGAATTGATGCACAGACTCTCGTACATTTTTACAGTGGACTATTATGCATCAGTAGAAAGCAGTGACAACTCTTAAAACACCAATAGACATGGACAAACTAGAGAACAGTGTTTTGCAAAGCTAGTCAATCTTATAATTATTTAATGACACCATTATCATAAGCAAAAAAGTAGTTATCACATCAAAGGGTAAGACTTTGAAGACTGGGGCCAAGGACGAGCATAGAGGGGGAGAGAGAGAGAGTGAGTGTGTGTGTGTGTGTGTGTGTGTGTGTGTGTGTAACTTATAGGGTGGATTTGACAGAATCGAGAAGAAAAACCAGGACACAGGAGTTGATAATGTTGATATATGTGGGAGGTACCCCCCAAAATCTGGAAAACTGGGTGGAGCTTTCGCAGTACACATTTTTTTCCCACTAGGCAAGCATCAAGAAACTTGCTCTTAGTTAGTGCAACCAGTAGCATCGTCTGGGAAGGTTCTCTCTGGTCACAGTGAATTTTTTCATAAAAGCAATTTTGCTTAAACCCCATTTTTTTGTGACGGCTGATTTAAGAGAACTGTGTGGCTGTGTAATTTT